AAGGAGATATCAGGACGAGTGAGGGTCAAATACTGAAGTGCTCCAACCACACTGCGATACCGAAAGGAGTCATCTCTACCCAGTAGTGCACCACTATGACGTGAGAGACTCTCAGAAGTAGCAAGCGGAGTGGAAGTGGCCTTGCAGTTCTCCATGTTAACGCGATGAAGAAGATCCAAAGCATACTTTTTCTGCGTCAAGGTCATGCCCCCTGAATGAAAGGACACTTCCAAACCAAGAAAGTACTCAAGGCGACCCAAATCTTTGATGGGAAAGCTAGCAGACAACGACTGCACAAGACGATCCACCACGGCGGGGGTAGAGCCAGCAATCACAATATCATCAACATACACCAGCATGTATATGTGTATGTTACCCTGAGAGAAGATGAACAGAGATGCATCTGATCTGGAGGCAACAAAACCGAGCTGCGAAAGGCGCTGACTCAAACAAGCATACCAGGCACGAGGCGACTGCTTGAGACCATAAATAGACCGCTGAAGTTTGCAGACATGAGAGGGATAAGTGGCATCCTCGAACCCAGGTGGCTGCTGCATGTACACATCTTCGGCCAAGAACCCATGTAAAAAGGCACTGCTCACATCAATCTGTCGGAGGCTCCAACCACGAGACACAGCAAGAGACAGAACCAAGCGAACCGTGGCAGGCTTCACCACCGGGCTAAAAGTATCTCCGTAGTTAAGCCCATGCTGTTGAGTGAAACCGCGAGCAACAAGACGAGATTTGTGCTTATCAACAGACCCATCTGGACGATCCTTGGTTTTGAAAATCCACTTGCAGCTCACAATATTAACACCAGGTGGCCGAGGCACCAACACCCAGGTGTTAGTGTGACGGAGAGCAGCAAACTCCTCGGACATGGCGGCACGCCAGGCAGGTTCACCCAGAGCATCACGATGGGAAACCGGCGCGGCGAAGAAGGCACGGCGGCGAGAGTCATACCGAACCGTGCCATCAGTGTAAGACTTCTCCTTGCGCGTATGATCATGATGGCGGGTAACCATAGCATGCGCCGGAGCGGCATCGCCGGTAGGAGAAGACGACGGCGACGAGGGCTCGACCAAGGGTGTCGCGGCTGAGAAGACCTCAGCAAGGGGCGACACGGGCCGAGAGACGATGGTATCCGACCCAGGCGAGGATGGCGGCCCGGGCGACGGACCAGGCAAGGGTGGCGACCCAGCCGTGCCGGGTGAGGGTGGCGACCCAGTCGCGTCAGCGGTTGTGCCATCGAGCGCCGCACATGCCTCGGATGACGGGACATGCACGTCGGGCGCATCAGGAGGCGTCGGAGCAGCAACATGTACCTGGGGGGGACTCAAAGCAATATCACCTGCAAAAGACAAGTTAGGTGACAAGTAGGACATGTCATATTTACGCACATGGACACCCAGAACTGGTTCATCGGAGGGAAAAGTGAGTGCATGTTCAAGAGAAGCAGGATCAACACAAACGCCAGGTTGAGAGTAAGGGAACACGGTCTCATCGAAAACAACATCACGAGAGATGTATATCCGACCAGAAGTACGGTCAAGACACTTATAGCCCTTATGCAAAGGACTATAGCCAAGGAAAACACACATCTTGGACCGAAACTCAAGCTTGTGAGCATTGTACTTGCGGAGACTAGGCCAGCAAGCACACCCAGAAATCCGAAGGGAGGAGTAGTTGGGCTGAACATGAAACAGACGGAACAGAGGTATGTCCTTGTTGAGAACCGGAGTGGGCATATGGTTGATGAGGTAACATGCCGTAAGAAAAGCCTCATCCCAAAACCAAAGTGGAAGAGACGTGTGCGCTAGCAAGGCAATACCGGTCTCGACCAAATGTCGGTGTTTGCGCTCGGCAATACCGTTCTGCTGAGAGGTATGTGGACATGACACTCGGTGAGAGATGCCCATGAGTTGAAAGTAGCCATGGAGTTTGTGGTATTCACCACCCCAGTCAGACTGAACGGCCTTGATTTTATAATCCAGAAGGCGTTCGACATGAGCCTGAAAGTTGTAGAAAACTTGCTCAACATCAGACTTGTGTTTAAGCAAATAAATCCAGGTGAAGCGCGTGTAGTCATCAATAAAACTAACATAATACTTGTACCCTCCCGACGTAGCAAGAGCGGGACCCCAAACATCTGAATGTATTAATTCAAGAGGTACAGTAGTGATATGAAACGAAGTAGAATAAGGGAGTTGATGACTCTTAGAACGCTGACAGGCATCACAAAATAACGATGAATTATTTGAACTAGAACACGGAAGGTCATGACTCCGAACAATGGAAGTGACCACATTATTTGTAGGATGACCAAGACGTTGATGCCATTGCAACGACGAAACTCGAACACCGGAGGAGGCACGACGAGACGATGAAGATGACGCACGAGCGAAGGGGACCGGATAGACCCCCCCTCCCCGTTAACTTCTACCGTGAAGGATGACACGCCTGGTTGCTTTGTCCTTAACAAGGAAAAAACGACGGTGAAATTCAACAAAGATGTCATTATCACAAAGAAGACGATAAACAGAGAGAAGATGCTGGCTGATGTGTGGAACATGAAGGATGTTACGCAGTTGAAGAGATGAACTGGGTAAACGCAATGACCAATGTGTGAAATAGACAAACCTGCACCATTGGCCACCTGAACCTGATCCTTGCCGTCATAGCGCTCGTGAACCTGGAGGTGCTCAAGATCATTGGTCAAGTGGTCCGTAGCCCCGGTATCCAGCACCCAAGGGAAGTCGACAGTGTTGGTGGACGCCGAGTTTACGGAACGGGAGTTGTGATCCTGATCATAGCGCTTGCGGTAGTCGTCGGCTTCATGGCCCCAGTTCTTGCAAATTTGGCACCGGGGACGCCAGCGGCTGCGACGCCCACCTCCTTCGCCGTTGTTGTTGCCGGCGTTGCCTCCTCCACCTTGCCGGCCATTGCCGGCATAACCAGCATTGTGGTCACAGCCGCCGGTGTTGCCGCCATTACCGCCCTGGCTGGCCATGTCCATCAGCCGGGCGCCCCCCACCATGGGAGGGATAGGGATCGGGGTAGGGCGCGCGTCCGCCCGCGCCGTACGAACCCGAACGGGTCACGACGTTCGCGGAGGGAAAACACCCCTCCACCGCACTCTGTTGTGCCTGCAGCGCCTCGAAGGACAAAACCAATGAGTAAAAATTGGAGTAGGGCATGGGTGCGTTACTCACGCCCAAGGAGGCGGCGATGGAATTGTAGGCGGAGCCGAGGCCAGTCAGGATGTGATCGATAAGCTCATCATCGCGGATCGGAGAGCCGACAACGGCCATAGTGTCGGCCAGGGCCTTCATCTTGTGCATGTATTCCGCGGTAGACATATCGTCCTTCCTCAGCGACTGAAGTTGCCGCCGGATGTGGCGGACATTGGCGCGGCTCTAGGCGCCGAACATGGCGGCGACGGTAGTCCATACCGCATGCGCCGACTCGCAGCCAATGAGTTGGCATGCAATATCCTCATCCATGGAGGTGAGAAGAAGCCCCTTGACGCGCTGATCTTGGACCCACCATTGGTGGTACTCCGGATTACCGACGGTGGTAGCGGCGTCGCCGGTGCCGACAACGAGTGTTTTGGTCGGTGCCGCCTTGGTGCCATCGAGGTGTCCGTGAAGGTTGGCACCGGCAAGAACGGTGCTAGTGATGCCCCCCCCAGAGCATGAAGTTGTGACAACCGAGGCGGACGGAGATCGTCGGGACGGCGAGCGCGACGGGGATCGAGGCGACGGGGGAAGAGACGATGGCGCCGACAGTTTGGGCATCGGACAGAGCGACGGACGACATCGCAACGGCGGCGCGGATGGGACAGCACGCGGTGGCAGCGGAGCAAGACGCGGCGGCGGCGCGGAAGATGGCTCGCGCGGCGGCGGCGAAGGGAAGCAGCGACCGCGTATGAGCAAAGCTAGCTGGCTAGCTAGCAAGCAGCTGGATGGTTCCTGCGCACGAGCGTAGCTAGCTAGCAAGAGCAGCGGCGGCGACGTGGACGATGGGATCGGACGACGGCGCGAGGGGCGTGCGGCGACGGCCCGACCTGGCTGATACCAAGTTAAATATAGTGTTTAGGATTTTGCGTGGGTATTTGACATCAGCCTCACGTCTTAATATATAGATGATTACAATTACAATTATATACGTATACGAACACATGTACCAACAATATCCTAGGCCCTACTTTACACGAGGCGCTTCTGCAAGACGCTCTTGATGAACAAACAAAGTTGCGAATAAGTGCTGTTCACACACACGGAAACAACCACCATATATATGTTTCGATTCACATTCATTGGTGCAGAAATCGTCCGAATATACTACCCCTTTGACATGACTAATAATGTTTTGTAATGCAAGAAATTGACCAGATTTTTGACACTGAAATCACTAGTATTTTAAAGCATGCATGAGCTCAAAGAATATTCCCACCTGCCTTGAACCCAAGACCGGTTCCCGTGTGCTACCCATAACCTCAGTTAGTTTAACCTTTAAAAGAAAAGTTTAAGAGGGTGTTTGGATCACTAGAGACTAGAGACTAGAGACTAGTAGTAGTCATCTTTAGTCAGTAAACCTCCAAACACCCCTGATTTTTACTGACTAAAGTCCCCCTCTCTCTTTTCTAATTGGGGTTGCATAAGGGACATTTAATACTAAGACATTTAATGCTGACTAGTAATAGTCACCTTCCAAACAGGGCCTGACTAAAAACTTCTAGTCTTACTACTACTAGTCACATGACTAGAGAGTATCCAAACACCTTCTAACTTGACCGAACAGCCGCCACTAAGTTACCAAACTGCCCCTCCTTTCTCCCTCCCCGGCCTATAAATTGCCGCCAACAGGCTCCCATCTCTGGATACCCAAACCGGCAGCGAACCACCGAAACTCAACTCACATAGTACTCCGTACTACCAAAGCCCATCCCTCATCTCCTCTGATTCCCAACTTCTACACCTCCCTCCTCCAATCCTTCAATGGCGACGGCGGCAGCATCTCGGCCCAGCGGCCCTGTCCTTCTGAGCCCCTTCCCCAACTACCAATCCGCCTCGCTCTCCCGCGTCAAGCTCTCCGCCGGTGGCTCGCCGGTCAAGTCCATCAGCGCCCTGTCTCCCCCCTCCTCCCCCTCGGCCGCCACCAAGATCCGTCGGTCCTGCATGTGCTCCCCGACGAACCACCCGGGCTCGTTCCGTTGCAGCCTCCACAAGGAGCGCAAGCAGGATGCGGTCCCGGCCGTCAGCAGCAAGCAAGCCTCCCCGCCTTCGCCGCCGCCCATCGGCAGCGGCCGCTCTAGGCGCATGGTAAACGTGCTGGCGCAGCGCGTCCCCATGGGGAGCGGGCACTGGGCACGCAGAGCACTGGCGCCGTCTCCCTCGGTACAGCAGCTTCAGCAGAGGAAGCGCGCGGACCGGTTTCGCGCCGGACCCAGCCGGCTCTCCGGCGTCTCCATGGCCGGACGCCGCGCAGGCGGCAGCCAGTAAAAAACAACCTCGTCGACATGTCATACTAGTACATACTGCACAAACTGTACATAGGAAACAAATTCCCCGAATAATTCCGTTCGCTGTATAGGAAGATCGGTGGGGATTAGGCCGGCCCGGAAGATTAGCTACCCAGTAAATACTGTACAAAGAGTGATCGTCTTCCTCCTCCCCTCTGCACATAGAGTGAGTTCGTCCTCTCCGCTCCAGTTGTACATCGAGTGAGCTCTCGTCCTCTGCCTCCACTGTGTACAACCCTTGATTTTGGTTCTGGATATACATCATGAGCGACAAATTGGAAACACGCACAAATGCATGCATCTGATCTGTCCCGTGACGGGAGGCTTATCCGGTCTTGCATGATTTGTTTGCCGCTACAACTCTCTGCTCTCGTTTCTGTTTCTGTTTCTGGAGTATGGATGCATCTCCCCTGTTTCGGCTTTGGATAAGCTCTGCAAGAGATCAGTGGCGTCTCGTCGTCGCTTGCTCCCGTCATGCGGCACCCGTGCCCCCGGCCGGATCAGGACACCATCTTGCGTCAGAGGAGAAATCCCCCGACTCCGGCGAAGTTTCATGGCGCGGCTGATGAACAGAGGAGCCCTCTTCATCCTGCTCGTGATATTTTACTGTTTTCTTCAGATCCGTGGTATTTTACTGTTTCTTCTAGAGAAAGTGGTATGTTACTGTTGGCCGAGGGACGGCGGAGCGGTTGGGATCCCCAACCCTTCAACTTGCGCAAGAAGATGATGTCTGGGAGACGGTGGACGCGCACGTCTGGACTGCTTCTTGACCGGTTCTGGTTCTTGGCCAGAAATCAGTTGCCGGACTCACCAATACTCATCAGCTGTTGGATTGGATTGGCGCCATGTCTGTCAGTTGTCTACTGAACATACATACATACAGTACATGAACATACATTCATACAGTACATGATACGGGCACGGACCAAAGAAAGAGAGGGGGTGGGGGATCTGAAGTAAATCATTATCGAGCTGCCGTAGTTTACTATAGTAGTTTAACCAACTCTTTGAATATTTGACGATCTAGTTGTTACGTACTGCTTCCACAACAAACAAACAAACCCGTCAAATATCAGACGGACACTTGCTTTGCTAACCAGAAGAAGAAACTCTGGAACGTCAACGTTGGCGACGGCCGGCCGAGCAGAGCAGGTAAACAGAACGCATGATCGGTCAGAATAACTCGATTGCGACATACAGTATATGCCCACACCGAGCACCGTCAATGGCCGGACCTGGTCGCGCGCGCGGAGGCACAAATGGACTTGGTGGGCGCTTCCAAAGGATTCGATGGAAGGTCGGTCTCTCTTGCCGCTGACACGACATGATTGCGCAAGCGCCAGGGCAAGATCGAGTCAGTGTACGGTCACTCGGGCTGAAATCTAGAGAAGTTCAGTGCCGCCTGAACTGGGGAATCAACGGGCAATGGCTTATTTTCCAGCTTCGCCGGGCGGATAGTAGCTCTGTTGGTCCAGGTAGGGCGCGAGGGCGACAGGTAAGCCAGGCGTGGGGAAAAGTTCGCCGCAGGTAAACGGCCTGCGCCGGAGGCAATGCATCATCAAAGAGCGGGCGGCGCCGCCGGGGAGCTAGCGCCATGTATACACGTGCGCCGGGTGCTCTGATACGGTGAGCGAGCAGCCATGAACGGTTGCGCGACGTCGGACAGTTGCATCGCACAACGCTGGACGACAAGATTCGATTCGTCGTGAATTATTGCTGGTTTCTTTTTGTCTTTGCAGATGCTCTGATTAGATCCTGTTGGAGGGATCGGGGGCTGAGAATTGACTTCTTGGTGGTGTGCACTGGCATGTCCCCGTCGTGCTCGCTTTTTTTTTCTGAAACGGAGGCAAAAGATTTGCCTCATCGATTAATTAAGAAGAAAAGAATTACCCAGTTAATTAATAAAAAATCGGACGAAAACCGACCGTCGTGCTCGCTCTGACTTTCTACTGATTCCGGTTAGTTGTAGTTCAGAGTTGCAGCATGAAGTCCATTTCCCTCGGGCACAGGGCAGCTGACATGCAGACAGAACAATTAGCTAAGGACGATGACCTGTTAGCACGTATAGTACGTAGGCAGGGCAATGTCAACCGAATTGATTTCTGGTAGTACGAACTTCTGACTCTTTGCTTCTGGATCCAAGAAAAAAAAATGTTTCAGGAATAGTGGAATACCCTACCCTGCAAGTGGCCTGCGGTTCAAGACAAAGAAAATGTAACCGTACGTACTTCTCGAAACCAAGGTGAAGACTAGGAATACTCAAAGTCCCTGCAACTTCTGAGTTTTCCAGTGTTATATGTTGGTGATTTTTGTTTGTTTGATATGGTCAGTTGTAATGTTCATACTTAAATTTTTTTTACATCAAGTTCATACCTAACCTGATGTCAAATCATTGATCTGAAAGAAGAAAATTAATATTCCATTGCGACAGACTCATTTTTTGTTCGGACAAAAGTAGAACTTATTGTTTCCATTGCAAAAAAAAAACCTTATGTTGCTAACAAAATGACACATATCAACCAATTTGTTTTTTGTGATAAAGGTCTTCTATTTATTAATGATTCGCAATAGCAGTCTAAGAGCAACTCCAATAGCTCCCTTAAAAACTTCACGTAAAACTACGGGGTGACCATAATTTTAGGAGAGGTTATCCTAGAGCTACTTTACTCAGTTTCGGTAAACTTGTTCACCTAAATCTGTTTTTTATTTTATTTTTAATTATAATATATATAATGGCCTAGGGCCTGTCAGTTTAATGTCACGCGTGACGACCGTCAGCGTGATGCGGTGTGGTGGCCACCGATGCGAGGCGGCATGGCGGTGGCACGAGCGCGAGACGGCAGCCGGTGCAGGTGTGCACTGAGTGGTGGCACGTCGACGAGGCGGGTGTGACGAGGTAAGCCACCACCTTGACCCACCATCATCGCGGGCACGACACGGGCTTAGATATTTCTCACCATCGCCGACAGCGAGGTAAGCCACCGCCTTGACCCACCACCTTCTCCATTCAGTTCACGGCGACCATGTGCACCCTCCTGACCAATTCACGCGTCCAGGAGAGCTCGATTTCGAGCAGGCATTCGACAA